CCTCTGGAACAACTTACCTCCTGAGATTCGCGCGGCTCCCTCGCTGGGCATTTTTAAGAAACAATTGAAAACACTGATGTATAGGCAGGCTTTCCCAACAGATAATCCCTGATGATTTTTCTTTTATATTCTTTGATTTCCATTTTTGTCTATTTGTAATGTTTTTAATAATTTTATTGTTGCTCCGATTGTAAGCCGCCTAGAGTGGTCTAGTATGACCAGATAGGCGGGATAGAAATATAATAAATTAAATAAATAAATAAATAAAGAATGGATAGTCTTTGGAGGTCAGGAAAAGTGTTTTCAGCTCCTAGAACCCATGAAGAGTCACACCAGCTGCAAAAGAACAAAACTAGAATGAGTGCCATGTCAGGTTTTGTAACATCCCAGTGGAACATCTAGTGAAACCTAACAAGGTTTGTGGGGAGAGGAGTAGTCAATGTTTTAAAGCAACAATGACTAAAATCGTTGCTCCTGGAGCCTTTCAAAAAAGGAAATAGCCTCTTTTCCGATTATCTGAGCATGATGGGTGGTGATGGACAGGGTCCAATGGAACAGGCAGGTCTGGCTCAGCCATGCAGCCCAGTGTATGATATGGCTTGACCAAGCACAAGCATCCATATGATATGAGTTGGGAGCACTTCGCTCCCTGTCTCAGCCAGCAGGACTGCTTGGTCCATCCCTGGTTGCAAGAACCAAAAAAGCACCTGAGGAGTGAATGAGGCCCATCTCTGCACAAGAAGAACCACTGCCAATCAAAACATAGTGAGCAATAGAGATCCGTCACTTGACTTCATATATAATGTGTGGCCCAAATATAAAGGTGCCAACACAATTAAATGAAAAGTAAACTGTCAGCAATTGTGACTATATTAAATCAATCCCAATTTGTCCCTGGTTTGAAAGGGGAAACCAGAGGACATTCGAGGTGGCTGGGCCTCTGTGGGCCCTTCTGTGGTTACCAGCCTAAAGAGAAGCTTTACTTTCTGTTTTTTTTTTTTTAAAGATAATGGCCTGGTCAGGATCACCAGTCCCCCAGGGGTATTCCTCAAGGAACAAATTATCAGTGGCCCTAAATTCCACACAAAATATCTGATTTTAAAGCAGTACTGCAGTATGGTTCATAAAGAGGCAACAGAAAGGCCAGTTCTCAGAACTTAGGGCATTGTACTGTAGGATTAACATGAATTTTTCAAAGATTCTGACAAAATATAGGATATAGATTATAATTAGCCACATAATTAGTTTTAGTTAAGTATTTTCCTTTGTTTGGTCACGATTGCCTCGTTTGAGTTGTACCTGGATTGTGCTATCTGGACAAATTTAACTTGCTACTTGAAATTTCAAAATTTCTCCCTCTCTCTCCCCTCTCTTTTTAAACATGTATTAAATATATTTACAAAAAGAAATAATGTTATAGAAATATTTGTTATGATATACTATAAATTATCTGCAGCAATTTTGCAATAGGCTATAGGATATAATTGCTATGGTTTTTAGATAGCAGTCTTAAGCTTGCAAGGATATAAATGTCCAATTGAGTTTTGAAATTTTAAGGACTGTGCAGATAATGGCATCTACACTTGTTATTGTCCCATATCTTTCCACTTTCCTTCTGTCTTCCATCTGTTAAAATGGAAAATAAGGAATAGTTACATAATGCCTGTTTATTAGTGCTAGGACTCAGTTAACCAGTTCAGAAGCCTTAGCCTGCATGACCAAAAGCAAGTGATTCAGGGAGGTGGAGTCTAAAATATCTAGAGAACCCAATATATCCCTACCTGGCTTGCATGTTACTATCCAATAAACCTCTATCCTACTAGTTCTGAATGTTTTCTTAAAAGTAAATGCCACAGAACTCAATGGGATTTACTCCGCTGTGAGTGTGCATAGAATTGCAATCTGCCTACAGTATTTTGTTTCTTTAGTTAGTTAAAAAGATCCCTCCTATCTCCTTAGA